GAAGGAGTAAAAAGCTGCCTTGCAGTCTACTGGAGGAGGTAAGCAGTTTCGCAACTTTCCATGGGGATGGGGTGGGTATGAGTTGTCAGGGGCAGCTCTGCATCAAAAAGTTCTATAAGCAGACACAACCTTGGTGTACAATATGTTTACTTAGTAAACACAAATACCAGAAATTACTCTACTTGGGTGATAAAGCCATTCCAAATTTCAAAAGAACAGGGAAATCCCAGGGTTATCCCTCAAAATGAATTTTCTCCAAACTAGTTTACCACACTCATTCACCTAGAACTGCACTAAAAAACTTAAGACAGAGTATTTTTGTAAAAATCTGTTCTTATTGATGTATCAAAATAAGAGATGTAAGTGACCTATCCTTATTAACATATACCTCTTTTAACGACTGTCAAAGAATAAAACAGTATAAGCCTTCGCTTAGTGACTTAAGTATAGTTTCAAGTCCCCAAGATTCCCTCTGTTCATTAGCTTGTAATAATTTACTGAACTAATCCTCATTTTCTATTTACCAAAAATAGGGATTTACAAATGTATTTGTTATGTCTGGCTTTTGAATACAAGCATGTATACTTTTTTGGAAAAAAGCTGAAAAACAATTTACGGTTTTATTTATTTTGAACAGGTAATACATTCACATGGTTCAAAATTCAAAAAGTTCAGAAGGTATAAAATGAAAAGTCTCATCCCACCCTTGTCCTGCAGCCCTGTAGTTCCTGTCATTGGAGGTAATCAGTATTACAGGTTTTTTTGCATATGCTTCTAGAGAGTCCTTTGGCATTCAATCAACTGCATGTATTTTCTCCCCACCTTTGTTTTTACAAACAGTAGCATACTCTGCACATTACCATTATAACCACAACACGTTTTCCTCATGCAGTATATATTAGAGATCATTCCACTAACATGGAACGTTGTATACAGAGCATCATCAATCATCTTTCACAGCTGCAGAGTAGTTCCCTATATGGAGCTACAATAATTTATTTAACCTGTCCCTATTAATGGACATTTAGGTGTTTCTAATTCTTAGCAACTACAAACAAGCAGACTGAGAGCTTTAAAGTAACAACAACAAAACACACCTCAAACTACCAGCTAGGATTCTTGTGTCTTAGACCTATCCCAAACTCAGTGTATGACTCCTGGAAAAGCTCGTAAGGATGGTTGTCTTAACTATACCAGTGAATTGTCTTGGCTCAGTCTTGCTGTTTGGTCTATTTCACAAGCTTACTCATTTGGTTAAACAATATCTAGAATGCTACAAAACAAATTATTTTAGTAAAACGCAAAATTATCTGATGGTTAAGTATATACCAACCTGTTATGTGAGACAAGCTGACCTGCAGATAATCCAAAGCCAATGAATCAATTACTGCTTGTACATTGTGAGCTTCATCCTCTTGACTCCTGGGAATAGCTATGAGGTCTGTGGAAAAAAAAACTACATAATTTTGCATCTATGAGAGTCCAAGTTTTCATCTACCTGTCTCTGACCAGGCCTCTGAGCTCTGCCCAAACAGAGCAAGCTATAACATACAGATAAACAGAGCCTGAATTCCACAAAGTAGAATCTTTAGTGGCTGAGTATTTGATTGAATATGGCTGAATATTTATTCAATCAACATATATATAAACATGCTCTATAATAAGCACTGTGTTAAAGAAAGCTAAAAAGGTCCCTGAATTCAAGGAGATGCTAATACTCTAATAAGGGAGAAAATACAAGGGACACTTTAACCTATAGCCATAGGCAGGTGTGAAGGAGGGGTTTGTGTATGTCCTGTTAAAGCAGCCTATTGGGAATTACTGGGATAAAGGTTTATAAGATCAGCATAATGCAGAAAGATTTTAACAACTTAAATTTGGAGTTTCTCCTCTGGTACTAGGGAAGATGAATGTCTTGGGGAAGGATGAAAAAAGTATTCTAAAAGACTGGTCTAATAACTACCTGCCTCTGAACCCTAAAGAGAGTTGAGACTAGTATCAAAGATACCAGCTGGAGGCCATCCCATTATTCCAGAAAGCGATGAGGGCACTGACTCATGGTAATGGAGGGAAGAGAGACTTCACAGAACTTCAGTGCTTAATGGTTATAAACTAGATAAAGATACAGAGGCAGCAGAGCAATCTATGGATAAGAACTCTGAGATATTTAACCAGGAACAAAGTGCAAACAACAATTCTTATCCGTAACATTGGTTAAATACCAGGATTCAACAAGTTTCCAAATTCCACTCGATTTTAGAACTATGAAGGTACATTTACAGAAAAGGTGTGACTTTCACAGGGCATTATGAATGATTAAACAGTTGATGACCAAGGCAGTTATTACAGGTGGGTCTCCTAAGGTATTCATTAAGGCAATGAATGCTATTATTTAGATAGAAATAAGATGTATGCAAAGAGAAAACTCAAGATTTTATATATACTATAGGATCTAACTAGAAAACCCTCGAAACTTATGGCCTAAGATACAGACACTATTACTTCCACTTTTAAGTACCCTTACCTGGTACCTTTTCTCCCAAAATAGACTGATAAAGAGCAATAAAAACATTAGCATCACAGTCTTCTAGTTCTCGAATCCTCAGGTGTATATGACATTGCAAAAGAAGATTATTGGCAATGGTTACCCACTCTGTTGGGAAAGGAAGGGAAAAGATCAGCCTTAACTAGTACTAGAAAAAATCATATACGTTCATTTAAACCCCCCTCCCCACAAAAACAGACACTGAATTCTATAGAAAATAAGGAATTTGTTAGAGAACTTCAAAGACCCTCCTAGTCATGATTTTTGAAAAGATGTATTTAATTTCTTGAGATGACTTCCAATGTAGTCAAAACTATGATGCAAATCCAATTTTCACTGTTGCAACCTAAAATCTTAAGTTACTTACCATAGTCCCCATTTTACAAGCCATACGTAGATCTTTTCATTTAAAACACATTTACAAATAAACAGGAATATTATGTTTTATATAAGACAGATTGTGAATAATAATTTGAGGTTACTAGAAACCAATTAATGGATGTTGCTTCAAATTCCCCATAGCATTAGTCATGTTTCTACCCAATTATCTTGTTCAAGGTGGAACGTCTCTGATGCCAAACAGGTGGGGATTAACTTAGGCTGTTAAGAACTGGAGTAATGACACCAACATTACTGCATCTGTTCTATTTTTAATTATATTTGATGTATATGAAAGAAAATTTGAGAAATACATTAAAACGTCTCTAAATTCAGAGCTAGCACATTACCAATACTGTTGAAGTTTCATGTGTATCACCCCTTTATTGTTGGGATTAGCAAAATTATTTCAAGGGTTTCTTGACCAAAGGTTTTAGCAAGCTTAAAACACTTATTCCCTCAAATAACTGGCGAGTAAGAGGGAAATTCTGTTCTGTATGCGTCATCTTCAGTATGTCTAGAAATAAATGTGTGTATGTGTAAGAGTGACTTCAAGGCACATTATCTCCCTCTCCCCATGCCCATTACTCACAGCTGACCAAAGAATGACAACTGGTTTGAACGCTGTCTTGGAAAAAAGAATGAAAGCGTCCCAGACAACCAAATCAATTCGCTTTACAAAAGCGGCGCTGGATAAAGCCGGTTAACTCTAGAAAGTACTGAAGAGAAAAGTCCACCACTATTCTACTTTGGGAGGAGCATCAACAGATATTTACAGTGCCAGTCCTCAAAAGTTCAAGACAGATGCAGACATGGCCTCAGTCCCCACAATGCAGGAGCAGAGGGCACATTCCCCAGAGAAATAGCTGTCCAGGGAAGGGCACTTTCTGACAGCCCGTTTTGCAGCCAGGACGCGGGCGTGCTGCGAACTTCGCCGCAGGGCCCTTCTCTCCCCCCGCCCCTAAATCAGGCTCGACCGCTTCAAAGGAGCCGGGGAGCGGGGCTGACAGACCCTATCCCGAAAACCCGCCGACTACGACGGGGTGTGTCTGTCACGAGTCCCACCGGCAGCCCAGACCTGCCCGAGGCCTCAAGATAAGATGGGCAGGGGCGTTCGGGGACTTCGACTGTACGGCTTCAGTCCACACACAACCGGGGCTCAAGGCCGAGACTCACCAGCCTCTGAGCCAGCCATGTCGCGGAGGCAGGTCGCCGCCGGACTCCCAGCCGGGCGCGCGCGGGACGGTGTCCTAGGAGGGCCTCGCGGCGCAAACCCAGCGGTGACAGAAGGGAGAATCTAACGAAAGTGCCGCGAAGGAGGGGTGGAAGAGGGAGGGACGTTAAAACGGCTTCTCGCTGCTGATTGGTCACCAAGGGAGCACTTCCTTTCGCAGCACGTGCCGAGGCGGCGGTTTGCGGGCTCTAGAAACTGTTCTCCACCGGCCAGTTCCCGCTAAGAGGTTCTCGGGTGGGTGCGTTTGACAGCCCAGGTCACCCAGCAGTCCAGGCCGATCTCCCGGGGCCATTAGCACAGCACTTCCGGTGAGCTATTCCGTCTTGTACTCCTCCGCCAAAGCCAACTGGGGAAGTAGTGCGGCCCGCTCACCCTGTGGGAGGGGGCAGCCACGTGACAATGTCAGGCTCCGCCTTCCCGCCTTGGTTGGTTATGGGCGTGAAGGCTCTCTGGAGACGTAAACATCTCCAAGTGGACAGAGTGGGTTAGCCTGGCCTGGCCATTTTATTGTCTGGGCTGTACCGGGAAAATGGTGCGGTGGCTTTTCCTTGAAGTGTGAAAGACGAGAAAAAGGTGAAGTCAAAAGAGTGCAAGCTGAGGCATCCCAGTGGTGGGTGGCCGGGTGGATCCACCCTTGTAAGGGGCGAAAAACGGGAGACGCTGAGGGAGGGGCCGCGGGGGGAGGGGCGATAACATGGCGGATTCCGGAACGCCGGCTGGCGTTGCGGCCTCTGCGCAGGGGCGGAGTGATTAGGTCATAGAGCGGCTCCCAGCATACTCTGCGGCGGAGGAGGCGGTCCAGGCTATAAAACCGGCTGCCGGGACGCCGCCGGCACCTCATTCATTTCCACCGGTCTTTTGTCGGTAGCACAGGTTCTTGTCATCGCCGTCCGTCCGCCTCTGCCGCCCCCGCAAGGCTTTGCTGTCGCCACCTCCAGCGACTCGCCGCGCTCGATTTTCTCCGCTTCGCTTCCCGCCAACCGCAACCATTGACGCCATGTCGGGTTATTCGAGTGACCGAGACCGCGGCCGGGATCGAGGGTGAGTGTGGGAACCGACCTGTCAGGCCCGGCGGGTGGGGGATGGGAGGCCGATGAGGGTTGTGGGGGGCGGGGTGGCGGTGGAAACTCGCCTTGTTTAGCCTATCCTTGGGCCTCCTCCATTGAAGAAGGTTTGCGCCATTTTGATTTGTCCCAAACTGGGAGTTTCCTGTTAACGATTCTCAAGAACGCCTTTTGTGTGGGAGGGGGGCATCGCGGCCTCGATGATTTAGCAGCTGTTGGGAGAATTTCGAGGATCGTATTTTTAGGGAAGGAAAGCGCAGTGCTTCGAGGCAAAGCCGCCGCTCTTAGGTGCAACCTTTCGGGAGGAATTTTAGGGGCCTCAGGGATTCTGTGGGTGCCGAGGGGGCCGCCTCCGAAGTCGTTAATGCGGCGAGGGCAGGAGGTATCTCGGGAGTTGGCCATGTGGCTGAGCTGTGGGTAGAAAATGCCGGCGGCGGACATGGCGGCGGCGCCTTTGTTACCCCGCCCGGCGGAGGAGCTCAAAATGGCAGCGTCGAGAAAATGTGGCGCAGAGAGAAATGCGAGACAAAGGGGGAAGCGCCGCCCCAGCGGGAACGCCGCCCGGCCGACTCCGCCCGGGTCGGGACTCCTCCCCCGGTAGTCTCCAGCTCCTCCTCCTCTTTTTCTTTGCGTTATATAATTTCGCTTTCTCGGTCGGGAGTCCTTCTGCGGGATCCCCCCAACTCGATTGGCTTGCGTGACTGTTTCCGAGACCACCTTCCTTGTTCTGCTTTCACTGCCTGTGTTGTTCCGTTATCCATTAAAACCGAAGCTCTGTTGCTTGAGGATGGCTGGCAAATAGCGTCACTATTAAGCTGCTTTTTTCTTTCTTTATTGTCGTTCTTAGACATTTAATTTTTAGTCTTGTGGAAAAGATTAGTAGCCACCAGCTGTTGTCTATCCTTGTAATCGGAACTAGTGTTCGGGCAGCCAGTTTCCGACCTGGTAAATCCCGGGCTGTTGATTTGGCTTCAGTGGTGTGGACTTAGCACAACGCGAAATGAGGGAGATGCGGTGCTTATTGTGGCTTTTGAAAGAATGACCAATCGCTAAGGACAGCCGGGTCTTCCATCTCCAGTCTTTCATTGATCTTTAGCATATGCTCAGGGATGGTAAGTAAGTCTGTACGTGTTTGAAAATGTAACTTTTTTTTTTTAATTTTAGGTTTGGTGCCCCTCGATTTGGAGGAAGTAGGGCAGGGCCCTTATCTGGAAAGAAGTTTGGAAACCCTGGGGAGAAACTGGTTAAAAAGAAGTGGAATCTTGATGAGCTGCCCAAATTTGAGAAGAATTTTTATCAGGAACACCCTGATTTGGCTAGGCGTACAGCAGTGAGTAATTTCATGTGGCTTCTTCAGGCTATAACTCATGAACTTTTCAGTGAATCAAAATCTTACTAGAAATTTCTTGCAAATTTTGGGAAACTCATGTTTTCCAAGTAAATAGTTGGGGAAGAGGTGTTACTCACTTTTGGAGACCTGGGACGTTGACTTTTACGTGGAAGAGTTGAGTGTAACATAATAGGTGGTTCTTGTACTACATGCAGTTTTCTGTATGGATCCAAATTTTTGAATATCATCTTAAAGTAGATAATTATAAATTCAGGGCCTTAGTTTTACTTAGTGGGAGTTATGAGACTTCACTGGATTATTATGATTTGTTTTGTAGCAAGAGGTAGAGACGTACAGAAGAAGCAAGGAAATTACAGTCAGAGGTCACAACTGTCCAAAGCCAGTCCTGAATTTTTATGAAGCAAACTTCCCTGGTAAGTGCTAGTTTTCCCCACTTTGTTTTTCTTTTTAATTTTTTTTTCTTGGCATTACTGATTTTTAATTGCTGTCAATAATTACAGCAAACGTCATGGATGTGATTGCAAGGCAGAACTTTACTGAACCCACAGCTATTCAAGCTCAGGGATGGCCAGTTGCTCTAAGTGGATTGGATATGGTTGGGGTAGCACAAACTGGATCTGGGAAGACGTTGTCTGTAAGTTTGGGAGAACTTTCGAGTTATGTGACATGTGCTAGAGAAAATTGGTTGGGAATTAAAAGAAACTAGCAGTATTTGAATATAACTTCTGTTGTTTGCTTTCTCCCTGAACAGTATTTGCTGCCTGCCATTGTCCACATCAATCATCAGCCATTTCTAGAGAGAGGTGATGGGCCTATTGTAAGTTTACATATATATTCTATCAGTTTTTGGTTAGAAGTGTAGAAATTTGTGGAATGTATAGCAAAAGTCAATTTGTGCTGGTTTTATAGAGAGATATTAGTGATCTTATCCAATTTACCTAGAGACAAAGTTGCTTTGGGTATTGACAGAGTAAGTCATCTGCCAGTGTGTAACACTAGTAAGTTGTCACTCTAAAACTAGGATCCAGGACTCTGCTAAAGGTGTTCCACTTTTTCTTTCCATAGTGCTTGGTGCTGGCACCAACTCGGGAACTGGCCCAACAGGTACAGCAAGTAGCTGCTGAATACTGTAGAGCATGTCGCTTGAAGTCCACTTGTATTTATGGTGGTGCTCCCAAGGGACCACAGATACGTGATTTGGAGAGAGGTATGTAACAAGGTTTTTATTTGTCACTGGTGGTGCTGAAAGTTTTAAATGTCATGGTTGCATTTGTGTGTTTAATTGAAGGTGTGGAAATCTGTATTGCAACACCTGGAAGACTGATTGACTTTTTAGAATGCGGGAAAACCAATTTAAGAAGAACCACTTACCTTGTCCTTGATGAAGCAGATAGAATGCTTGATATGGGATTCGAACCCCAAATAAGGAAGATTGTGGATCAGATAAGAGTAAGTGCCCTTCAAATGTGTTCTCTTCAAATTTAGCTCTAAAGCCATTCTTAGAATACAATGCTTTTTTTAAATCCAAAAATCTTTAGCCTGATAGGCAAACCCTAATGTGGAGTGCTACTTGGCCAAAAGAAGTAAGACAGCTTGCTGAAGATTTCTTGAAAGACTATATTCATATAAACATTGGTGCACTAGAACTGAGTGCAAATCACAACATTCTTCAGATTGTGGATGTGTGTCATGACGTAGAAAAGGATGAAAAGTAAGTTTGACTATAAAAACTTTATAAATTGTTTCAAATGTTCTCTTAAAAGTGACTTTCAGTTGGGTGGAATCTGAATGTTAACTTGAAATTAGTCTGTCAGTCACTCTGAAAATTGTTTTGCTTCTTTCATTCAGGAACTTGTTGGCTATCACCGTTTTAGTATAGCGCTCTTATAGTAAAAAGACTCCTGTGGTTTATTTAAGGACCAAAGGTAGAACTATTTGAAAGGTTAAGTAGGTGTTTTCTTTTTAATTTGTAGCCATGTAGATTAAAGTTAGTGTTTTGCTCATCATAACCGTGGACTTCTTTTAGAATTCACAATTTTTTGTTTCCTTCAAGGCTTATTCGTTTAATGGAAGAGATCATGAGTGAGAAGGAGAATAAAACCATTGTTTTCGTTGAAACCAAAAGAAGATGTGATGAACTCACTAGAAAAATGAGGAGAGATGGGTATGTGGACTCCTTCCATTGAAGCATATATTTATTAGAGCTGAGTGTAGGGGAAGGGCAAACTTTAATCGGTGGTAGATTTGCGTTTCAAAGGTAGGAGTAATCTGGTAGTATGGGTAAGACTGTGTATATACATTACTTCAGGCAAAATTAAAAGGGTCTATGACCAAAAATGGTTTATCACTTGATTAAAATCTATGAGGTTTTAAATGAGATTACTAACGTAACTTTCCTTTAATTTAGGTGGCCTGCCATGGGTATCCATGGTGACAAGAGTCAACAGGAACGTGACTGGGTTCTAAATGGTAAGTATTTCAAGTGAAGTCCCCCTCCCCCCCAAAAAAACCTAAAATTCCATTCACGTCAGTAATTATATATGTGCCTTTTTTTTTTTTTTTTTGCAGAATTCAAACATGGAAAGGCTCCTATTCTGATTGCTACAGATGTGGCCTCCAGAGGGCTAGGTTAGTACAAACTCGAATTCATGGCTTGGTTTGTCAGAAGATCTCCATATAATTTTTTTAAAGAAAGTTTATTGCTTTCTTTAACCTCTGCATTTTTTCTAAGTTTTTTTCATATAAAGGTGCAGTCTTTGTGGCAAGGCCTAGGCATGACAATCGGAGGACTCGAGGGGGATGGAGGACTAGTGATCGGCTGGCTGCTTCCAGTCGATTAGAGAGGTGAAAAGCTGAAAGTGTGCCAGTAATCTTCAAAAGGCAGAACATACCACCTCTGCCCCGTAAACTGTTCTCTCCGGGGGAAAAAAATGGAAGTTATCCTCACAGTTCACTGCCGTGGTATTTATTCTGTCCCATGCTTTGCATGATTGCCATGGTACAGCATTGTTTCAAACTGTTTATTGTGATCTGTGGGTCTTTGAGTTTCAGTGAGTTTGCTGAAATGTCGAAGAAATATTTCCAAACTTCAATGTTCAATGAAATTTTTGTTCAAGTTTGAAATGGAGAGAGCAGCTTTAAAAGGTACTAAGCCTTTTACAAATTGGTGAGTACTGGCACATAAAATCTAGAGCAGGAGCAACTTCTCACACTTAGTGGGAAAAGAAAGCAGTGCTTTGAAAGTTCCTCCCTCACCTGCACAGTAGTCGTCATGTCGAGACCTGCCAGAGAGAGACACATTCTCAAGTGAATCCTGGCTTCTTGGAAGCGCTTGCCTAGACGAGACACAGTGCATAAAAACAACTTTTGGGGGACAGGTATGTTTTTCTTGCAGCTGCGGTTGTAAGGTCTTGGCAAGACAAGCAGTGTGGCCAGAATTTTGAACTTCTGATAAGTGTGTAATGCAAAGGACCATGTATATTTTTGTTGAAAGGTCCTCAAAACGAGAGCACATGAGGAGGTTGCTGTGAACCTTTAATAGTGGCCCTACTGCGCAGAAGCATTCAGATGTCACTTGATGATCTGTAAGGGGATTGTTAATTTGGGAATGTGTTAGGGAATACACACGTCCTTTTGACAGGCTCCATCATTGGGTGGGTAATGAGGCATAAGGATGACGTGTGCTTTTTCTTTTTTTCTCCCCCCTCCCCCCCTCCCACCCAACCTCAATGGTATTCCTACAGGGAATGGATAACCATTTTAACTGTATTTTTTGCAGCCCATACCTTCTTGGGAATACAATTGTCTAACTTTTTATTTTTGGTCTGGCTGTTGTGGTGTGCAAAACTCCGTACATTGCTATTTTGCCACACTGCAACACCTTACAGATGTGGAAGATGTGAAATTTGTCATCAATTATGACTACCCTAACTCCTCAGAGGATTATATTCATCGAATTGGAAGAACTGCTCGCAGTACCAAAACAGGCACAGCATACACTTTCTTTACACCTAATAACATAAAGCAAGTGAGCGACCTTATCTCTGTGCTTCGTGAAGCTAATCAAGCAATTAATCCCAAATTGCTTCAGTTGGTCGAAGACAGAGGTTCAGGTAAGACCAACCTTTGATAAGAAATGTCGGTGGTTTGGGGTCACCTAATTGCCTACAAATCAATTTTAAATGGTATTGGCGGGTGAGTAAAATCTTCAGTGAAGAATGGAGTTGAAAAAATACTTCACAGATCTAATTCTTTTGTTAGTAATGATTTATGCCATGGAAATAATCAAGTCTGCAATTTTTTTCTTGACAGGTCGTTCCAGGGGTAGAGGAGGCATGAAGGATGACCGTCGGGACAGATACTCTGCGGGCAAAAGGGGTGGATTTAATACATTTAGAGACAGGGAAAATTATGACCGAGGTTATTCTAGTCTGCTTAAGAGAGATTTTGGGGCAAAAACTCAAAATGGTGTTTACAGTGCTGCAAATTACACCAATGGGAGCTTTGGAAGTAATTTTGTGTCTGCTGGTATACAGACCAGTTTTAGGACTGGTAATCCAACAGGGACTTACCAGAATGGTTATGATAGCACTCAGCAATATGGAAGTAATGTTGCAAATATGCACAATGGTATGAACCAACAGGCATATGCATATCCTGCTACTGCAGCTGCGCCTATGATTGGTTATCCAATGCCAACAGGATATTCTCAATAAGACTTTAGAAGTATGTGTAAATGTCTGTTTTTCATAATTGCTCTTTATATCGTGTGTTATCAGACAAGATAGTTATTTAAGAAACATGGGAAATGCAGAAATGACTGCAGTGCAGCAGTAATTATGGTGCACTTTTTCGCTATTTAAGTTGGATATTTCTCTACATTCCTGAAACAATTTTTAGGTTTTTTTTGTACTAGAAAATGCAGGCAGTGTTTTCACAAAAGTAAATGTACAGTGATTTGAAATACAATAAATGAAGGCAATGCATGGCCTTCCAATAAAAAATATTTGAAGACTGAATTAAGTGGAAATGGTACTTTATTTTACATATATAATGTCATGTAAAACTTGGCTTAGATGGTCTTTTTTTAATCATAAAAACTTAAATTGAGTGCTTTCTATAGTTTTGGGAAGTGGGAAGATCAGAAGGCCCTTCTTCCTGTGATCTATTCCTATTTTAAGGATTAAAATGCGATTGATTTAGGTTGATTAACAATTCTAGGCTAGATTGCATAAAAGCTCTCTACTTCTCAACATCAGGTGAGTCATTTAATAGTCTCTTAGCAGAGGGGTGAAATGAGATACTAGAACATACAGGAAATAACTATAGCCCCACCCTCAGACCGCTTAGTGTGAGAACACAGATGACTTCTGTTCCCTTTGCAAAATTTATAATTAGAGAACTCTCCAAATAACTTATTTTTGAAGAGATTATATTTGTGCTCCTGGCCATGTTATGAATTAACTGAAATACTGAACGAAGCTGAAAAGACTACACCCTTGAAAAGATGGTTGGCCAAGAGCTAAGTTTGAATTTGTTTTCAGTGTTAGTGTAGGTAGTATAGAGAGAGGCTCGTTTCACAGGCTTCCTGGGACTCTTTAACTGTAGTCACACTGGGAGTCATGAATGTCCAGTAATTCAGGGAACTCAAAATGTAAGGTGTATTTATGTTCAAATGAACATTAGGAAAATCCTCGAAATTAACGGTTAACCTAGAGGAAAGCCATGTTACCAAAAGCACGGAGACTACGATATAGGTCCTTCTGTTAGGGTCAACGTGGGTTTATTGCTAAAAAGATCCAGTGGGTAGCTTTAGGTTTAACTTTGGCTCACCAACCTTAATACTTCCTTTCGGTGATGGCTAGAAGTAAGACCTGAATGTCTTCCCAGCGGCTCTGGTGTGTGTTTTTTTGCAAGAAGAGAAAAGGTCTTTATGAGACTGCATTTAAATACTGGTTATTAAAGTGAGGCTTTAATTGGTGTTAATGCCTTAGGTCTAAAATGTAAGACTGAACTAGAATTTTCCTGGGGCAGGATAATGAGTGGTATTTTTAGGACTAATACATTGAAAACTGGCTCAGGCTCTAGTAATTGAACAGTTTTCAATAGCATGATTAGTCAAATTCATTATGACTTTTAACTTACAAGAAGCTTTTGGGGTAGGTTGGAGTATTTATTACATTTTCTGTTCAGTGTCTAACGTGGGCCTTTTATTTTGTAAACACAAATGATTGTGGGGCTGTGGAAAATATTTAACTCTTTACCTTTTGAAGTAAGTTTTAAAAGACAGTCCACTTTTTAGCATGTGTGTTGTGTCCAGCCTGTGGTTGTCTTAACTAATAAATGTGATTTTTCTCCCCGTTCTCTCTTTTATTTATTTGCGTTTAGGCCTCTCGTGTGTTTCCGGGGTGTGGAAAACACACATAAATGTTACCCAGCTTTGCAGTTAATATAATTGCTTTCCAGCAATACCGTTTTACTAGCATCTTCTTTTAAACAAATTTTCACATGTTCTGTATGGAATGATTTTTTGAATGTGTCCAACACCACCTTAAATGTGATGAATTTTAACTTCCTATATTGTGTTCATTGCTAAGCTGCTACCCTTTACATAAACTGTCTCTTCCAAGTGTTAAAATGGAGCTGTAAAGCCAGAAGTCTGCTCCGTAGTCCTGGATCTCCGTTTTAAGCAGGTTTTCTCAAGTTATTTTTGAAGGGCCTTTTAGAAGGGTACTCTGGTAGAACAACTCTGCACGAGTGGTTCGTTGTCAGTGTGCCTCCACGTTAACCTGGAGAGTTTAAATACTGCTGGGCCCTTTTCAGCAGCTTGTTTTTTAAGCAACGTTTCCAGGTGATGCGGGTGCTGCTGGCCCAGGGCATCCCTTTTAACACCAATATGTAAAGGGACTATACTCCTTCCCCGTCACAACCTCAACGGGCACTCCCAGGAGAGGGCAGGCAGGACACCATTTTACTAGAGATGCACGCAAGGCGTGGGTCTCTAAACTACCATTAAGGAGTACAATTGTAAAGAGGGGAACTAAGATTTATTTTCGTGAACACATAAGGCTGAGAAGGTGTATTTAAATGGTAGTTTGTAGAATACCGAAGTAGTTTATTTTACTTTTTTTTTTTTTCGCGGTACGCGGGCCTCTCACTGTTGTGGCCTCTCCCGTTGCGGAGCACAGGCTCCGGACGCGCAGGCTCAGCGGCCATGGCTCACGGGCCTAGCCGCTCCGCGGCATGTGGGATCTTCTCGGACCGGGGCACGAACCCGTGTACCCTGCATCGGCAGGCGGACTCTCAACCACTGCGTCACCAGGGAAGGCCACCGAAATATTCTGATGTTTCATTTGCGGAAAAAAAAAAAAGGGAAGGTAAAGCTGACTCAATAGTGGCAACAGCGGGATAGTGAAAAGTAGATGGGAATGATCTTTATCGGTGTTGAAGACAAAAAGAACAAGTAGAGAGAGCCGGACGTGACGGATGTAAGAGACAGGAAGCCTAACTTCGCCTTGGCGAGTGGGATAGGCACGCGGCGGTGGCGGCAGCGGCCGGAACGCAGTGACGTACTTCCGTTGGTGGGGTCGGCCGCGCGCACGCTCACTTCCGTCGCGCCTGCGCAGGTGGCCCCCTACTCCCGGTTGTGGCGGGTTTTCGGGACCCATATTACACATGTTAGCCTTTCATAGGAGTCTGTGCACTTTTAATTCCTGAGGGCGATGCGCTGTGGTGCAGCCGTCAGGGCCGGCCAGAAAGTCTGCAGGTGCCTGCTGTCTGGGTTTAGTCGAGTAGATGGAGGGCAGTTGACGGAAGGGAGCGGCTCCTTTGTAGGGCCCTTGAGGTCGCACGGGGAGCTGCCCCCGGTGAGCGAGCTGAGAGAAGGCCCCGAGTCTGGCGGCGAGGAGAGCGAGGTGCTGGTAGAGATCTGTCAGAAAAGGCGTTTCCTCAGTGGCACCAAGCGACAGCTTAGTCGAGATTCTTTACTGAGCGGGTGCCACCCCGGCCTTGGCCCCTTGGGTATAGAGTTGCGGAAGAACCTGGCGGCGGAATGGTGGTCCACGGTGGTGGTGTTCAGGGAGCAGGTCTTCCCGGTAGACGCCCTCTACCATGAACCAGGCCCTTCGCTGCCCGGGGACAGTGCCTTCAGGTTAGTTTCTGCAGAAACGCTACGCGAAATCTCGCAAGACAAAGAGCTGAGTAAGGAACAGCTAGGAGCATTTCTTGAGAACTTACTGAAAACTTCTGGGAAACTGCGGGAGAACCTTCTTCACGGTATGCTTCACGATTTCATGCTTCAAAATAGGTGTCGGGGTGGAAAGGCAGACTCGCTCGATTTCCCAGATTGCAGCTGGCCCTGTGTTCACATGGAAAGGAAATTATCTGGTTCTCAGTCTTCTTGAAGTAGTTGGGTTTGTTGACAGTGTTGCTGCCTTGGAGAAAACTGGTTCATGGGATCGTTATTGTTCCTTAAAGAATCCGGCCCGGGGCCTCCCTGGTGGCGCAGTGGTTGAGAGTCCGCCTGCCGATGCAGCGGACACGGGTTCGTGCCCCGGTCTGGGAGTATCCGACATGCCGCGGAGCGGCTGGGTCCGTGAGCCCTGGCCGCTGAGCCTGCGCTCCGCAATGGGAGAGGCCGCAGCGGTGAGAGGCCCGCGTACCGCAAAAAAAAAAAAAAAAAGAATCCGGCCCAAGGCTCTAGTAAAGCTCTCAGTTTCACAAGGCAACCCTAGAATTTTGGAGTTTATTGAGCGGCCCTAGAATTAGGACCTAAATTAAATCGTGTGTTTGAATCATTGGTTCATTGTTACTGAAATATTTATAAATACTTCCATAGTTTTCTTTTTTTTATTTTTATTTTTTTTCATAGTTTTCTTTTTTTTTACACACTATAGGCTAATCGAGAGCTCGTTTTTCTAGAGCAACAAGAAAATGTCCTCCCCCAGTTTTTCTTACCGAAAACTGATCTACACAATCTGTTGTTTGAAGAGCCCTTAAGGTAATTTTTGAATTGGCAGAATAATAGGACTAATCAAGTTTTATAAGCGATTCTTGAGTGAATACACAGAAATTTGTAGGGCACAATATGCCTTCAAAGTCAAATAGATCATGATAGCAGAGATTCTGGAAAAAAAAATTCAGAATTTTTACAGGACAGACTTGCTGCCACAGCATCTCATCTTTGCAAAATGCTATCCTTACCATTTTTTATTAAGTGGTACTAGGAAGTAATTTAAAATAACCAGTGTCCATGGTTCTCTGAAAATTGGTACCTATATTGTAAACTTTAAAGATTTCCTTAATAAAATAAAGCAAACTTAAACTGGTGGGTAAACGTGACAGTTTTGATTTGTACTGCTTTAATTATTCTATGATGATTTTACTTTGGGGAAGTTAAATCACTGCTCATTACCATGTCCCAAAACAAATAAATCTTTTCTTCCCTATTAGAAAATGAAACATAGCTCTCTTAGATTCATCAAAGCATTTATTGATGTGCCAGACATTTTCTTGCCTTTAGAAACTTAAATCCACTTACTTGCCAAATTTTTGGTTGTCTAGTGTTTTTAGTTTCTGAGTACCCGTTTGCCATTTCTTTCTATGCCCAGTGCCCTTACCCTCTTTATTTCATGTTTGAGCTGTTGTGGTAGCCTCTACTTATGAACGGTTTTTAAAATTTCTCAGCCATTTTGTCTCCAAATATTTTTACTGCCCCATTCTTTCTTCTGTCCTTCTGTGATTAATTACACATATGTTAGACTCACCCCCCAGCATCTTGTTATCAGCTTTCTTGAACACATTAATTACACTTAAAAGTCTATATCTGATAACTCAGATATGTCGGTTTCTGTGATCTGTCTTACTCCGGGCTTTTGGTCATTTGGACTTAAGATTTTCTAGGTAATTTGTGTGTTAATTGTAGAGATAAATTGAGGCTCTGGGTGGCATTGTTTTCTTCTACCTGGGAGGGTTTACTTTTGCTTTTGGCAGGCAGCTAGGGCATATCTTCTTAATACAATCCGGGATTAAGTGTATTGAGGCTGGATTTCAGTCTTTTTGCTTCACCTCTGCTCCTAGAGTGTAGCCCTTTGAGTGTGCGTAGTGAAAGGTTGGGGTGTTTTCCAGGGCCCCTCCTCCTTAAGAGCCTCGAACTACAATTTTTGGGCTTCCTAGCCCCATACGATGTCAGGAAGCTCTGCTCAGCATTTCAGCTTCTTAGTTCTCCTACTTCAGATTGGAAAAGCAGCACTAAATGTTGGGTTCACCTCTGTTCTTACATTCTCTCCAAATCTTGGACCCTCAAGTCCTTACTGCCTTGACAGCTCTCCTGTGTCTTTAAACAGATTCTTTTTTTCAGTTTTTTGACCTGTTTTTCTTGTTATCAACAAGCTTGTCTACTATTACCAGAAGTGGAAATCTCAAATCAAGTAACTTTTGAACACAGTGTTATCATTTAGTGGGATATAATCTAAGTGCATAAAGAACTACAAAGAAATCTTGAACTTTATTGTATTGATTTATTGTAAGTAGAAATGTTGGGATTATAATTCTGAAGCTGTTTCACATATAGGATAAAGCAAATAGACCAATGGATAGATTTATTAGGAACCAAGATTTTCACTGAAAGAGAAAAGATGTACAAGGCAAGGATAAACTTTATAATGTTAAATTTGAAATGACTATTAGTGTGAATTCATGATTTTTTAAAAATACAAATTTCCTAACTTTCTTCATTGAAGGGGCCTAGAAGCGATGACAATAGCAATGATCACACCTAGTACCCAGAATTTGGTTTCTAAAGGAACCAGTGCTTGGAGAAATGGCTCATTCCAGGTATGGGGCAGGGCAGTACAAAGTGACTCTGGCACAGTTTATGGTGCTAGAAAGCAAAGAATTACTAGAAGACTAGTGGGTTTATGTTAAAAGGACATAGATGCTGGCTTGAAGGAGACTCCCACTGGCTAAGTTTGGGACAAATTGAACATTAAAATAAATATTGATGGTAATGGGATCAGAACACATTAAATAAAATTAAAAATCTAATCCACAGTGTTAAACAAAAAATTAAGTAATTGAGGCTGCTGGTAGAAAGAGGAGTTGAAAAGAGTTTGTCTTTGTAGGAGCTATGCAATAAATGTAGAAGGAAAGATAGGATAGAAAAATCACCTTTTTATGATTTTGTAATCCTCGGTATAATAATAATTCAAGCAGGGGTTCATCAACAGATTCTAAAATATCGGGTGTGGGACTTCCCAGGTGGTGCAGTGGTTAAGAATCCGCCTGTCAATGCAGGGGACACGGGTTCGAGCCCTGGTCTGGGAAGATCCCACATGCCACAGAGCAACTAAGCCCATGAGCCACAACTACTGAAGCCCGTGCGCCTAGAGCCCATGCTCTGCAACAAGAGAAGCCACTGCAATGAGAAGCCCGCGCACCGCAACAAGAGCAACCCCCCCACTCGCCACGACTAGAGAAAGCCCGCATGCAGCAACGAAGACCCAACACAGCCAAAAATTAATTAATTAATTAAAAGATAACGATTGCCCCTTTGTTAAAAAATAAATAAAATAAAATATTGGGTGGAAGATTGTTGGGGAGCAGGATAATGTTGGGGAATGGATATTCACTACCTTAACTTGGTAATCAAATCTGGTTTCATTAAAAGTGGGATTATTTGATACTGTGTTACTCCTGTTAGGATGCAACAGCACATATACATCAACTATGTAGTATTTATTCCTGCTAAAAATGATTAAACCAAATTAAATAAGGAAAAATTCAGACAAATCTAATGTGAGATAATCTATGACTGGCCTGTTCTCAAATTAAAAATTGATATTAAAAGCAAAGTTAGAGAGGGAGAAGTCCGGGGAAATATTCTAGATTCAGAGCGATTTAAGAGACCTAATAAAATGCAGTGAGTTAACCTTAATTAGGGAGAAAGAGAGCAGCAGTAAATGGCTTTTGGGGTGACAATTCGAGAAAATAGAATATTGACCATAAGTTAGATGAAATTATGATATTATGATTAATTTAATGGTGTAATAGTGGTATACAGTGAATATTTTTAATTTTAGGAGGTACATGCTAAAATGTTTTGGGGTGAACAAGAAATAGAAAATAAATGTGGCAAAATGTTGACAATTGGTGAATCTAGGTTAAGGGTTTACAGATGTTTATTGTACTGTTCTTTCAACTTTCTTGTAGATTTGAAAATCTTCATACTAAAAAGTTGGGGGAAACTACCTAAAATTAAGTGGTAATCAATTAGGATCTGCCTTAGTAGCTCCATGCTACTGTACTTACTGCTGTGTTAGCATTATATTATTAATTTGTCTATAAATTGACCAAAATTATTTGGGTTTATAAAATAGGTTTATATAGTGATTGGTTTATCTTTTGACAGGCGCCTTGGAGCATTATGTTAATTACCTGGATCTGCTAAACAAGAGGCTACCTTTTGGCCTTGCTCAGATTGGAGTGTGTTTTCATCCTGTTTCTGATACTAAGCAGACACCTGATGGTGTTAAAAGGTACACAAAAAAATGGAAATAACTTGGCCTTGTATTTAAACAGTCACTTTCACTGTGGGATAGATTATATGATTTTCAAATAAGTGATTATCTGATATTTCTGATATCCAAAGAATCGGTGAAAAGACTGAAGCTTCACTGGTATGGTTTACTTCAGCAAGAACTGCGAGCCAGTGGCTTGATTTCTGGTTACGTCATCGACTCCTGTGGTGGAGAAAGGTACTACAATAATTACCCTTAATTTAATAATGATTAGGCAAATTGTCTTAGTGTGTCAGAGGTAATACTTCTCTACAATAAATGAAATTTATTTTGATGTAGCTATGTTATATTTATAAGAGACAGCTATAATAAATTAACAACTACATATAAAAAACTCTTTGTAATAATTTTCATTGTTCCATAAAACAAAGTTACTTTACGTCTGTTGATGTCTTGCTCAGAAACTTTTGTTGGTAAGACTTTACATTCTAGGTAAAGTTCAAATCCCTCACCTGGCATTCCTGACTGGTGTAGAGTTGGACCCTTGCCCACTCTTACAGCTTTAGCTTTTTTTTTTTTAAAGATCTTTATTGGAGTATAATTGCTTCACAATACTGTGTTAGTTTTGCTTCCAACCTCCATGAACTCTCCATATTAGTCAAATGGTCCTGTAATTTACAGTCAAGTTTCAGTGTAAGCCTAAGAGAAAAGAGTTGAAGTAAGCATTTTTGTCATGCCACTGTCTTATTTCTCTAACTCTCAAAATCTCCAAACACCCATGTAAACTAAATGGAATGATCACAAATAAGGAAGGATGAGAATGGTGAGTGTGTGATACTTTCTTCTTTATCCCACTTAGTTCATGGTTCCTTCCCTTCTTATTAATTGACCACAGAAATGCTAGATAGCATGAACAGTTTTTCTGTGTAATTCTTTCAGATTAAAAAACACTGTTTGTAACAGTATATTCACTCATATTTAATTAAACTTAACAATTTTTTATTTGGGACTTGACCAGTTTCATTCAGTTGCTGGGGGCAACTTTACTTTTTAATATTTATTTTAATAAGTTAATAAGACAAACTTTCTTTTCCAGTTTGCTGTGAGTCCATCTAACTTCAGCAGCAGTGACTGTCAGGATGAAGCGGGCCGAAAAGGAAACAAGCTTTACTACAATTTTCCGTGGGGAAAGGAGCCAATAGAAACCCTTTGGAATCTAGGAGATCATGAACTTTTACACATGTATCCTGAAAATGTAGCTCAATTACATGTATGTTTTACCTTGCGCGCCTATGTATCCTTTACCCAGATTCTCTAACTGTGATCATTTCTGAACCATTTGAGAATAAGCTGTAGACATGGTGCCCCATGACGTCTTAATACTTCAGTATGCATTTCTCAAGTACAGGGACTCACCTGTATAACCACAATGCAATCATTATGATCAGGAAAGTAGCAGTAATCTGCTATTATTCTCAAATCCACAGAACCCTTCAGATGTAACCAATTATTCTAATCTGCCCTTTATAGGTCCAGGATCCAATCTAGGATCCTGTATTTCATGTAGTTGTCATGTGTCCTTAGTTTCCTTCAAATAATTCCTTTTATTTTTCCTTGTCTGTCATGACCTTGACAGTTTTGAAGAGTACAGACCGGTTACTTTGTAGAATGTCCCTTGGTTTGAGTTTCTTTCATGTTTCCTCATGATTTATGTATTTTTGCTAAGAATGCCACAGAAATGGTGCTACCCTCTTCTCAGTGCATCATATTGGCTTGTTACTGGTGATGTTAACTTTTATCGCTTGGTTAAGATGATGCTTCCAGGTTTCTCCAGTGTAAAGTTGACAAGTATTTTGTACTTATTAATTGATGAGTAATTAATAAGCCTTTTGTGGGCAGATACTTTGACTATGTAAATAACCTGTTTCTCACCAGATTCTGGCCTACTGGTTGCAACATCCATTGATGATTCTTGCCCAAATCGATTATTACTGTGAGGGTTGCCAAATGGTAATTTTAAAAATTTCATCAGTCTATCTAGACTTACTGATCAATTTGTATTCTGATTCTGTAAGTGCAAAATGTAATTTTAAGAGGTAGTTCTGCTAAATGATGCTTTATTTTTGTTCTCCTTTTCTGTGAAGGGCAGAGATGGACGGAAAAATGTGGTTCCTTCTGTTTTATCCATAAATGGAGATCTAGACCGAGGCATGCTGGCATATCTCTACGATTCTTTCCAGCTAACAGAGAACTCCTTCACAAGAAAGAAAGATCTTCATAGAAAGGTGCTTTGATATTTCAGAGATAGACTTGGGAAATTAAAAATATAAATTTCTCTCCCTTTTTTTATGTTAGTGTACTTGGTTTCTAATATAAACTCTGAATAATAATTTTTTTAGTGCAAGTTATTTATTTTTCAAGTTTTTTTAGAATCTGCCCACAGGAATAATAAGCAGGTTCTCACAGAATAGAAGAAGGAATCCCTCTTGGGTAATCCCAAAGGCGTTTCTGTTTGAACTTGGACATCTGGACAGCTGTCTCTGATTCTTAGCCCCTGAGCCTTTTCACTTATGGCTTCTGCTTGTATCAGAAGCTGAGTGTTAAGTAGGAGTAAGTAAAACAGGCCAGCAAGACTTGTGGTATTAATCTCTCTGCTTCTGGTCTGACCCCAAGCGGCTGATCACTGGATCACAGGAACTAGACATGGGTCTGGGTCAAGGGAAAGGCTTATTTTAGGATGTGCAATTTGAGCATTTTTATGGGCTCAAAATCAAGAGAGAGGAGAGGTTGAAGCTATAGGAGAGAAATGAAGTACCTAATGGAGCAAGATTTTAGAAGAAACAGGAAGGACCAAGACAGAATCAAGAACACAAGTTGGGGGGTTTTGTCTTGAAAAGGGAGTTATTTTTTGAAACAGCAGGGTGGAAAGAAACAATGGTATAGATATAAATAGGCTACTGGAGCTGGTTAGCCCTTGAAGGAAGTTTTACTCATATCCTCTATTTTCTTGGGGAATTAGGAAGCAAGATTATTAGCTTAAAATGTGGAGGAATAGGGGTTTAAGTGGCAAGAGTTTAGAATAGTCATATTTCCCTTGAATGGGAAAGGGAGCTTCCCCAAAATCAAGTTTTCACGTGTTGAGTGCTCAACTGGGATTAGACACCATGAGTTTGTAGCACCACTCTGCCTAGTTAGTGATTTATTATGCAGTGCTCGTTTAGCCTGATGTGGCCATTTATAGAATTGTTTGGGATTTATAGGGTGTGTGTAGCAGACAAACAGGGGGATCCTTTCTTTTCTTTCTCTTACATACTGCACATCCAAACCATCAGCAAAACCTCTTTGATTCTGTCTTCAAAATATATCCTGAATCTGACGGTTTCTTAGCACCTCCCCTGCTTGCAGTCTGATCTAAGCCACCATCATCCTCACCTCCCTGCACTGAGTGGCCTTTTTAAAAGGTACGCGTTACTTTGTTCCTCTGCTCTAAACACTCCAATAAGCTCCTCCTCTCACTCAGAGGAAAAGCCAAAGCCCCTAAAATGTTTTACAAAGCATTATCCTTTTTGACCTTCAACTCCTCTCCACCTTACTCAGTCTGCTCCAGCAGCACAGACCTATAGTTGTTTCTACAACATGCGCAGTGTGTGCTCCCAGCTCAGGAGCCTTGTCATTAATGCTCCCCTTTGTCTGAGTGCTCTTCCTCCAAGTTCACATCTCGTCCCTGCATCCCCTTTCAAGTCTGCTCACATGTCACCTCAGAGAGGAGACTTTCTCTTACCCCCTTATTTATTTATTTATTTTTAATGGTCCCATTGTAGCTTTTTTTTTTTTTTTTTTTTGGCTGCACCGTGCAGCATGTGGGATCTCAGTTCCCTCACCAGAGACCTCGCCCCCTGCAGTGGAAGCGTGGAGTCCTAACCACTGGACTGCCAGGGAATTCCCTCTTACCACCTTATTTAAAATAGCAAACAACCCTCCACCAGCCCACCCCTTGCCAGCACTTCCTATCTTCTTTTTTTTTTTAACACTTACCACCTTCAAATATATTATTTACTTATCTATTTTGTTATCTGCTTCTCTGCATTATGAGGGACAGGATTTTTGTCCCCACCACCTAGAATTATTTCTCGTACCAAGTAGCCATTCACATGTTTGTTGAATGGCTGAATGAATGCATAGAGTGATGGGTTTTGGCAAGAGAAAGTCCAAGTGATAAGCCACATGGCTCAGGCTGGGTAGGGAAGGCAGTGATGCCAGAAAGGGGCATTTCAACTGAGAGAAAATGGATTTGTCAGAAAATGGGAGAATATCAAGTGAACTTATTTCTGTAGAATGCCTGAATGGAGACATCTATGAGCAGTTGAATAAAGATGGTTGATACATCATTACGTGATATTTTTTATGACCTCAGCTAGCTTCCATTTTCACACAGAAAATTTTAACTGCTTAAACATCTTCATGTTTATTAGTGCTTGTCCTTTTTACCCCTTCTCTTTAAATTGTTTTAGGTGCTTAAACTTCACCCTTGTTTAGCCCCTATTAAGGTTGCTTTGGATGTGGGAAGAGGCCCAACAGTGGAACTAAGACAGGTGGGTTAAATAAGTTTTAATGTCATGATTTCAATTATAACCGTTATTCCAAGTAAATGAGTAGTTTGCCATCTAAAGTTTTATTTTCATTCATTTTTTTAAAAATTCTAATTAAATAATGAACTGTGAACATATTTTAATTAAATAATGAAATTTTTATTAAATGAAAAAACCATTTTTAATGAATTTTTAAATTTTTAATTAAATCATTCATTAATAATGAATTTTAATTAAATAATAATAAATACTACAGTTAATTACAGATAATTTGAAGTATATTGTATTAAAGAAGCTGAATACAGTTCAGTGGGCTTTGCTGTTAATGTCATGCCCAGTCATAGTTGCGTTTTTTTTAATGAGTATGCATAATTTTGGCAATCAAAATATTTGTACAGACGTCTAGTGAATTATTTCTTACCCTCTTCCCTTTTTAACTTAACACTTTTGATACTTTTTGGTATAAGCACAAGTTCTAGATCTGTAATCTTATTTTTCTAATCTATCTGGTCAAATTAAATACTGTTAAGAAAAACCAGGACCCCTTCAGCAGTCATTTCTGTTTGGGTAACTCAGACCCATCCAGGGACCTGAGTGAGGATACTAGAAAGATTGACCTGGCTTTCCTGGGCTCCTGTGCAGGGGTCTGGGAAGGTGGGGATAATGAGTTCAGGGAAAGGGAAGAGAATGGCTTAATTTCCACATTTCCCCCAGGATTGCAGGAGGCTCCACAACACCCTGGTAGGTACCAAGTTCCTAGGGATTTTTTTGCTTGAAGGACAAAGAACTCTGCTTCCTAGATTTTCATCATTACCATTGCAGGCCTTTTGTTTTGTTCTGTTTTTGTTTGTAAGAATATTAGTAGTATCTTGTGCCTTGGGTGTTTTACCAAAAGAGTAGTGTCTTATTCTGTTTTTAACACTTTTCCCCTCAGCAGTATGACAAAGAGAATCCTTACGTATGTAACTTTCTGGGCTATGAAAGAGATTTTGTGGGTTATTTCCCCATGTCTTCACCTGCGCTTTATCATGCTTAGAACTTTTTCTCTCCTTTTCTACCTTCTGTTAGAGCACATTTTCTGCTGGCAACCAAAACTAAACTTACTAAAACTCATATTTATTTTTCCCTGATAATTTCTTAGATTTATTAATATCTATATTTTCATCTATCCCCAAAATATCCTGTACCTTAATACCCATTTACTTCGCTGTGGTCTTTCCCTGGGAACTTGTTAGAAATGCAAATTCTTGCCAGACCTGTTGAATCCGAAACTCTGGGGGGCGAGGCTGAGCCATCTGTGTTTTGCAAGCCCTCCAGGTGATTCTGGTGTTTAAGTTTGAGAAACAGTGCTCTAGCTCAGGCACACACCCCTACCCCATCCCACCATCCTCCCCCTCTCCCTCCCCATGGGGACATTTGGTAATATCTGGGGACATTTTTGGTTGTCAGAAGGTGGGGAAGGGTGCTCCGGACATCTAATGGATACCAGGGATGCTGCTAAACATCCTATATCAGTGCCAATGAGAGAAATTCTGCTTTAGAATTTTAATTCTAGATTGTTAAGGGAGTTTAAAATTTTTCTTTTTCTTGCTTCACCATTTTTAAGAAAACAGTAAAGTGTACTATGTCATTTACTCATCATTACTTCTGTATTTCCAATCAGGCTTTTGTCTCCAGCATTCCACTGAAACTAATCAATCATTCTTTTCTTCTTGAAACATTTTCTTTTGTTGGCTTCAGGAACACCACTCTCTGGGTTTTCTTCATACTTTTCTGGCTCCTTCTCCTTAGTTTCCTTTAATGGCTCTTCCTTACATCGTATTATAACCCTTAGGCTCAGTTCTCAAGTCTCAGATAAGTTTAGAGTTAACATAGCCCTTTGGACTGTTTTTTTCTGATAGAATCTGTTTTGCTTTTGTTTATTTGTGTTATGAATGATGATAATAAAAATTCTTATATTTGGTATAAAAATTTCAGATTTGCATTTAGTATTCAGCTTTGCAGTGTTTAAGTTCTTCAGAAGAAGTATACAATTTATAAGTATACAATATATAAAATTATCAACAATATTATCATGTAATTAAAGGGATTTATGCCCACTTTAAAGAGTGAAAAAGATGATTGGTGGTTTCATAAAAATAGGGTAATAACTCTAGCTACTTTTCTTTCTTTCATATTCAGAGTTTTTGTATTTTTCCCCAGGTTTGTCAAGGGCTATTTAATGAATTATTAGAAAATGGAATATCTGTGTGGCCTGGTTATTTGGAAACTGTGCCATCCTCATTGGAACAACTTTATTCAAAGTAAGAATTGTGTTTTTTCTTGCTTAAAAAAATGTATTCAGAGTTTTTGATTATACGATGTTTCTTTATGAGTAACAGATTTCTTCTAAATATCTATATATACTATAATTCAAAATTATTCCTAACTTTCCTGTTTACAGAACCACATACCCTTAGTTCATTGGTACAGCAGGAAACAATACTCATCAGGTATATATGAGCACAAACTATGTGAAACTTCAAGATTTAACACCATGAAGTATGTGTACCTGAGTTTATCAGTTTATCAGGGATGGAATTATTTATATTAGACACATTTGTTGAATCGGGACTGGGGGAACATGAGTGGAGTGCCTTTTCCTTGCTGGCCTTGTTCATTCTCAGGCTGAGTGGAAGGTAATTCTATTCCAGAGAACAGAGAACTAGTTTTTTCGGTGATCTGCACCTCTGTTTACCTGATTGCTCAAGACTGAAACCTGGATATTGTCCTTCACTCCTCCCTCTTCCTTACTGTTAGAGTCTAGTCCATCACTAACTCTTGTCTTCCTCCTAAATGTATCTCACATCCACATCTCCCCATTAAGATCACCAGTATCTCTTGACTGGATTATTGAAATAATCTCCGAACTGATCTCCTGTCTCTAGTCTTACCCCCTGCTATTTTCATTAACTTCTGTTTTTTAATAAAATAATTCATTTTTCCCTACTTTGGGTTTATTTTGTTATTTTTTTAGCTTTTTGTGTTGAATACATATCTTTTAGGTGAAAAGTTGTGAAGCCTCGTGTTTTGCTCCTCAGTTCTGTAGTAACTTGTTAAAATATACCTTTCAGATGATGTCAGAAGAAAAATAAGTTTCTATAGATAAAGCAACTGATGGCTTTATCATATATAAAATGAAGGGGTGGTACTTGAACTTCCCAGTGTTCTCAGTTTCTAAAATCTTACCCTTTGAGTCATGTGGACAATATCAAGTTACAGTTGTTCTTTACATGGTAAAGGCTTTATGTTCCAGGATAGTTTTTTTCCTTTGTCCCAGGATACTTTTCTCCAGATATTTATTAAGCACCCACTATATTTTTTGTTCTTTGATACAGCAGTAAACAACACAGAAAAGTTTCCTGTTCTTAATGACACTTATATTCTAGTGGGATAGAATAGACAACAGGCAAGTAGATAAATAAGATAATTTCTAGTGGAGTCCTAAAAGAAAAGAAACAATGAGATAGTATGACTGGGTAAACAGAAGGAAGGCCAGTGTGGAACATATTCAGTTATTGCTAAACTAGAAACTGTAAGTTAGTGTACTAAGGTATATATTTAGCATGGTTTTTGGTATAATTTGTTGTACACTAGATCTTAATATTATAGTAGTATTATAAGAGAGTTTTGTCTAAAATTATTTTCTTGGATTGTATCCAAATACCAAAAGGCTGAGGTTATTCTGAGGTTCATCCAGATCACACCAAATGGTGTGTTGAGGTACCAGTGTTCATTTCTTATATTTTCTTTTCTTTTATGACTGCCTAGCTATTATAATAAGTCAGAAACTTCCTGAAAATTTTACTTTGAAAATGATTCAGAAACTTGAAAAAAGTATTTTTGGGTTCAGTTCTCAAGCCCTGCCTTTGAGTTTTGTGACTCTTTTTTTCCTTTCTTTCTTTCTTAATTTTTTTATAGAACTTTAGTTGTTGTATACAGGAACTTTAGTTGCAGCATGTGGGATCTAGCTCCCTGACCAGGGATCGAACCTGGGCCCCCTGCATTGGGAGCTTGGAGCCTTAGCCACTGGACTACCAGGGAAGTCCCTGAGTTTTGTGACTCTTGAAGGTGGCATTGGCTCCTGAGTAATTAAAGCTGGTAATGTGGTGAATTTACAATCTATATTTGTGCTCACGTGTTTTGGTTAACTACCTTTTTTTCTTAGATACGATGAAATGAGTATCCTCTTCACAGTGTTGATTACTGAAGCTACTTTGGAGAATGGATTAATACATCTGAGAAGTAGAGACACCACAATGAAGGAAACGATGCATATATCCAAAGTAAAAGACTTTTTAATTAAATATATATCATCAGCTAAGAATGTATAGATTCTAATATTTGTGTAATAAATATTCTCCTTTCCTAATTTGGTTGTCTTATTTAACTGAGATTACTATTAGTGTTTTTCTTTTTTAGCCTCTTTGCACTCAGAAGTGGATTTTTTGGTGCTTTTTTTGATTCAGTTTTTATTACTTATATTTCTTGATGTATTTCATGGTATCAGGAATATGTTCAGCTATAAGAAACAAAAGGACTGCTATACTGGCTTAAGCAAATTGGAGTTTGTTTCTTTCATAACAAGAAATCGAGGGAGTAGACTGTCCAGAGCTGGTGTAATTGTTTCCTCTATAGTAGTTAGAGAGCAAGGCGCTTGGCTGTCTTTCCACCATCTTTAGTATATTGGCTTTTAACTTTATACTTGTTTCTTCTTAGTCACAAGATGGCGGATGTATTTCTAGCCTTCTCAGCCACATTCGAGTTAGGAAGAAAGTCAAAGAGATAAGAGCTAGCCAGCCAAGGCTCTTCTGTTTTTAATTAGGAAAGTAAAAGCTTTCCCAAACATCCTGGTCAGAAGACTTATTTACATTTTATTCTATTTATCAGAACTGAATCACATGGTCATTACTAGGCCAGTCATTGTCCAAGGGAATGAGAATATCATGATTAATTTGGATCAAACACAATTTATCCCTTGGGGCAGTACTGTCTTGTCTTCTCTGAAATGGGTTTTGTTATCAGGAAAGAAGGGTCTTTATATACACTGTCAAATATCAAAGATTAACCTAAAACTAAAATTTTAATAATGAGAACATTTATTGACTTTTGCAAAGCAAGCTAAAATAAATGTTAAATGGCATAATCTAATATTAGTGTATTTCATGTCTGATTCTAATAGATATGTTTATAAGAAATCTTTAAACTTTTGTGTGCTGATTATGTTTGTGTTAACTATGTTGTCATTACCAACCTGACAAAAATTCTGATACTTTGTGTAAAATGTCTTAAAAGCTTGGCTGGCTTATCTGAGTTGACTTTACTTAGTAGGTCTTTATTTTTTGGTTATTATTTTTTGCTCTTGGGGAGAATTTCAAACACAAACATACACAGAATAGTATAATTAACCCCATGTACCTATCACCCAGCACCAACAACCACCAACCCTTGACCAGTCTTGCCTCATCCACCCCACATCGCCCTTCTACGTTATTTCGAAGCAGATCGCAGCTATCAGTTCATTTGTAAATATTTTAGTTCAGGATCTTTTGTTAAGTTAACCATTCTCATGCCTGAAAAAAATTAACAGTAGATGACAGTAGGAATTATTGAGAATTTCCTTGGGTGTGATAATGATATTATGGCTTTATTTTTCTTTTTAAAAAGTCATTGTCTGATAGAAACACATACTTAAATATTTTTGAGTAAAAATATATGATATCTGAGACTTGTTTTAAAATTTAGTTTTAAAAAGTGGTAGAATATGGAGGGAAAATAGGGATAGTGCTGAGTTGTTGAAGTTGAGTGATGGGTACATGGGAGTTCATGTACTGCTTCTTTTTGTGTATGTTTGAAGATTTTAATAATAAAAAGTTTTTAAAAACCAATTCTTTAATATCATATCCACTTAGTTTCCAGTTGTCTCATTGTTGGATCAGGATCCAAATAAGACCCATTTATTGAAGTTGGCTGTAGGTCTTTTAGTCTCTCTTATCCTTATACAATAGATTTGAGTTCTCTCTCACCTGCTCACACTCTTTTTTTTTTTTTCCAAGACATTTGAGTTGTTTGTTATGGTGTTTTCTACTGTTTGGATTTTGCTTATTGAATCCCCTTGGTGTAGTTTAACCTATTCCTCTCCCGATATTTCCTATAGATTGGGAATTGAATCCAGAGGCTTGATCAGCTTCAAGTTCAGTTTGGCGGGGGGGTGGGCAAGATTATTTTATAGGCTGTATTCTCCCATCAGGGAGCGGTGACTGTCTGGCTGTTTCTCTTGGGGGAATGCTAGCAATCATTGACCAATGCCTAGATCAGTCAGTTCATTAGAGGTGGCAAAATGGGGATATTCTGATTCCATCTTCCTTCTTTATTTATTAGCTAGAATACTTATATAAAAGAAAATATCTCATCTGCTGTTTGCTTAGAGGTATGGGAAAGGTGGGAGAAATGCTAGATTTGTCCTCTTTAAAGTTACTCTTTTTCATGCACAAATTGTTCTGTCTTTGGCCAGTAGGAGCCTCTTCATGTTGGCCTCAAGTCCTTTTGGCACAACTTTAGTAGTCTTTGATAGCTTCCTTGGTATCTAATATGTAATATAGAGATTGTATAGTTTAGAGTTTCTCCAAGGAGCCCTGGTTCATTTTACTGGAAAACTGTTTGGAGACTATACTCTGGGTGCCATCACGAACTCACCAATAATTGCAATTCAAATTCAGGACTGGTGTGTGTGTGTGTGTGTGTGTGTGGATTAGCTTTATTGAGATATGATTTACATACAGTAAATTTACCTATTTTAAATGTACAGATTATGAGTTCTGACAAATGTGTAACCACTACCACAATGATAATATAGAACATTTCCATCACCCCCCAAAAGTCCCCTCATGCCCCTTTAGGACTTAAGAGTTTTTACTTTAACCTCTTCTATCACACATCTGTATCTCCTCCCACATCAAGAATCCCGGGGCTTCCCTGGTGGCACAGTGGTTGAGAGTCCGCCTGCCGATGCAGGGGACGCGGGTTTGTGCCCCAGTCCGGGAAGATCCCACATGCTGCGAAGCGGCTAGGCCTGTGAGCCATGGCCGCTGGGCCTGTGTGTTCAGAGCCTGTGCTCCGCAACGGGAGAGGCCACACCAGTGAGAGGCCCACGTACTGCAAAAAAAAGAATCCCAATTCTCAAGAATACTGAGGGTGATAAAATTAGAATGCCATGACACACAACTGCTCATTTGCTTTATCTCACCTTAACCACAGAACTCTCAGAACTGCAACGCCTGTATTCCCACCATGGCTACTTAAAAGTTTAAATTTCATTTTTGCAGTTTGGGGTCCAATATTTAGTTTTAATATAACTGTGAGACTAAAATGTTTTTAAAAATTATTTTTCTGAAGAAAATCTCAGTCCTGCCCACAGGTACCTTTATTTAGGTACTTTGTCTTCTTAGGGGCCTCAGCCTCACAGGAAGATCGAATTCCTGGTCTCAGATCAGCTGACTGCACTAACTGGCAACATGGAATGTCTATACTGCAGTTGAGGTAAGTAATATTTATGGAGGATTAAAAAAAAAAAAAAAAAAACAAGCAAAAAAATATTTATGGAGGATTATCCAGATCAGAAGTGTCTGACTGGAGTTACACATCAGAATCTCCTGTGGAGCTTTTAAAAATAAACATATTTGAGCCCTATCCCAGACAGACTTACTATTTCTCTTAACAGTGGGGCCCTCATAAGTATATTTTAAAATATTTATGGGTGGTTTCTGATGTTCACTCCTGTAGTAACCACTGTTAAATTTATCAGAGAGCTGCATACCTGGATGGTATTATTTTGACAAAACTTCCCTCCAGCCCAATTGCATTTAATAAATTTTGTTTTATCAAATACTCTTCTTAGGTATTACACCACACCAATATGTACTGAAAGATGTTATTAGAAATAGTTCTATAAAACTCATTCTTCATTTAGCCATAAGAATGTTCTTGAGGGCATTTGTTTGCTATGTACACCACGTCTTCCTGTGAGGAAACATGGGAGAAATTTCTCTCAGATTTAAATGCCAGGGGTAGTTGTGCTTCTCCTAAAGACTGGCCTGTTATTATATGTGTTGTATATCTGTTCATTTTGTTTATTCATAAAGGCTTTTTGAGCATCCAAGTACCAGGAACTCTAGGTGCTGGGGATGTAGTGGTGAACAAAACAGACAAGGCCCTTCTAGGGGTGGGGAGGCGGGGACAGACAATAAGCAAGTAGGTGCATGGGCAATTTCAGGTAATTTTGGGTAGCGATAGTGTTGTAAAATAGGACAGGATGGCGTGCTAGATCATGCCTAGGGTAGTGTGCTTTACATAGGTGATCAGGGGAGCCTCTGAGGACTGGCCTTCCAGCTGAGACTGAATGATGTGAAGGAGCCAGCTGTGTGAACATCTGGGGCAACACATTCTAGGCAGAAGGGAGTAGCAAGTGCTAAGGCCCTTAGGAGGAAAATGGTGTAGAGTGAGCAAGGAACATAAAGCAGGCCAGAACAGAGGGGAGAAGGGGAGAAGGTGAGGTCAGAGAGGTGGTCAGGGCCCATGTTGCTTAGAGCCATGGGGGCCACAGTAAGGACTCTGGAAGCCACTAGGGCAGGAGGGGGCACAGTTTGAGCAGAGAAGGGACATACTGTTATTTTGAAAAGATCACTGGAGAGTGGAATGTTAGAGGAGCTCTGATAATGCCCAGGTGATGGTGGCCAGGACAAGAGAGGTAGCAATGCCCTTCCTGGACCTGGCAAGAGGAGCCCCTGCCCTTTAGAGGGTCCTGCTCTGGCCCTTCTCCAGCTGTGCCTTCCCCCGCATTATGTCTGAGGGGCCAAGGAGATGTGCTTGGAGGTCATTGTAATCCTTAGGTGTCTAATTGTCCTAACCTATAAGTTTATGTACTACCTGAAATCTCAGTTACTGTCTCTGGTTGTGTGTAATAAAGGTCAAAGACAAGGCACTAGCCCATGTCCCTTCAGGGCAGTAAGGGAGAAAGAAGGAGCTTCAGACATCACTGAACCACTGTTGATCATTCCTCTGGTTAAGTCTCCCCTTTACATCCTTCAGGAGAAGCAGCACTGAGAGAAGGCAGTCTCCTTAGGTTGTAATCCCCCAGCTCTGGGAGCAGAAGGGGCAGAAGGGACAAATGCTTGAGGGCAGCTGGTCAGAGCACACCTGTTTGCAGCTCTTCATCCCATCAAGGTTTTTGTGCTGCCCTGGTGTCACCTTGCAGATACAGCCTTTTCCTGGTTTCCTATTGGATTTTTGGCTTTTTTCTTAATTTGTGAGAGCTCATTATACATTGTAGAACTTCATACTTTATCAAAGACATGGATTCAAAATACCCCCCATTCTTTTGACTTAGTTTAAGATTTTTAAATGTAATTTTTAAATGTTTCATCTAACTAACAATCATTTATGTCTTCTGGATTGTGAGTCATACCTAGAAAAGCCTTTCCCTCTTAAAGATTATTATAAAATTCCTCCTGTTTTCTTTTAGCACTTCTGTGGCTTCATTTTTAGGTATTTTAATATTTGAGCTAGCTGAATTAATTTTGTTGCAAAGAATGGAGTTCTAACTTATTAAATATGGTTCTCAAGTTTTTAAAGTGTATTGAATATTGCATCTTTTCCCCATTGACTTAAAATGCCATATTTTTCATATGCTAAACTCCTATATGTATTTAGATCTATATCTGGACTTTCTGTCCCATTACATTTACATATTTCTACTTCTCCAGCCATATACCCATACCACACTTTCAAAATCATGGTAACTTTATAATGTTTTCAGACCTCATAGACCTCTCTCTCTCACTCTGTGCCTCCCCCTGACACACACACACACACACACACACACACACACACACTTACATTTTCTCATATGCTTCTTGAATCCTACACCCTTCCTCTGTATTCAGTTTCCTTCTTCATCGAGTACACTGTGTAGTTCTTTCAGTGTGAATGTGATTGGGAAACCTCCTTCTCAGTCTTTGTCTTAAAATGTCTTTATTTCCCCCTCAGTCTTGATTGATATTTTGGCTAGTGTGGTAGCTATTTTGATTGGTTCTCTTAAGCCACATCATAACCCTTCTTCTATTTGGTGGGGTCTGAAACCTGAAAAATTACAGTTCCTTTGCTGCCAGGGCATGGCTGTGAATATCTTCTACCAATCAGATGCATGTACATGGGACCTGGAAAGTAGAAGGGAGGTGATGGTTTCCACTGAAAAGCAACTGTCTCCAGTGGCATAACTCCACACTCCATTGGGCTCCAGTTTCTGGGTGAGGCAGTTGTGGCAGAGGCAACAGCGGTAACAGCAGCAGTAGTTTTCTGATCTCCAGACTGTAAGAAAAACCTACAGATAAATTGTTAAAATCAAAAAGAGAATTTAGCAAGGTTGCTGGATAGAAAGTCAACCAAAAAAAGTGATTGTGTTTCTATATATCCACAACATGAAATAAACATACAATTTACCGGCCTTTCTCACCTTCTGAGATGGCCCACACTGTCTGTGGAGTGTGTCTCCCAAGGCCACTCTTGCCTTCTGAGATGGCCCACACTGTCTGTGGAGTGTGTCTCCCAAGGCCACTCTTGCCTTCTGAGATGGCCCACACTCTGTCTGTGGAGTGTGTTTCTCTATAAATAAGTCTACTTTTTACCTATCACTTTGTGTTTCACTAAATTCTTTCTGTGATGAGACATCAAGAACCTGAGCTTCATTAAGTCCTGAAACCAGGTGCTGACCCTTTATTCCCAACTTATAGCTAGACCAACTCCCGCTCATCGTCAGCACCACTGGGATGTCTTCTGTGCCATTTCTTTGCGAGAACTTTTTGGGCACTAACACCTGGTTGAGAGAATACCTTGGAATGGATAGCATCTAAAATCATACGGAAACCCCCACCAGGTGGGAGAAGTTAACTCTATGCTGCCCACAAGCACGTAGACCCCAGACTGGTTTGAACCAGAAGGCTGAGGATGCTAACTCCCACTTACCTCCCCACCAACCAATCAGAAGCATGTCCACCACCTGATCATGCCCTCCTCTTTGAACCATTACTGTAAAACTCCTCACTTCCCCCTCCAGGTTGGGACACACAGGTTTGAGGGCATGAGCCTGCTGTGGCCCCCTTTGCCTGGCAAAGCAATAAAGCTATTCTTTTCTACTTCACCCAAAAAAACAAAAACAAACAACAACAACAAAAACCAATTTACCATAGCATCAGAATATCAAGTACTTAGGACTAAATCTAACAAAAGATGTGCAAGCTGTTTATGCAGAAAATGATAAAATGCTATTGAGAGAATTGAAGAAGACATAAACAAATGGTGAGATATTTGTAGTTTGGAAAACTCAATACTGTAAAAATGTTAATTCTCCCCAAATTGATCTACAAATTCAATGCAATATCAATCAATCCCTATTATGTTCATTTTTTCTTTAAGAAAATAATAAGCTGAGTCTAAAATTTATACAGAACGCAAAAGGTCAAGAATAGCTAAGACATTCTTAAAAAGAACAAGGTGGGAAAATTGTTCTTGCAGTTATCAAGATGCATTTGAAAGCTGAGTATGACATTGACATGGAGAGATAAGCAGAGCAATGAAACAGAATCTAGAGTGCAGAAAGAAACCCACATGTATATGGGCATTTGATTTGTGACAAAGGTGACAGTGCAGTTTAGTGGGGAAAGGACAGTCTTTTCAGTAGACAGTGCTGGAACAATGGGATATGTCCATGTGGGGGAGTGGAAACAAGTATGATGGCAATTTCACATCACAGAAACAATTCCAGGTGGATATAAACTGAAATATGAAAGTTAACTAAAAGAGCCTTTAGTAGATAGTAGTATATGGTAATGCTTGTATGACCTCAAGTTGAAAAAATTTTCATCTGGGCACACATCCAGAAAAAAACACTAACCATAAAGGACATGGCAGGACTTCCCTTGTGGCGCAGTGGTTAAGAATCCACCTGCCAATGCAGGGGACACGGGTTCGAGCCCTGGTCTGGGAAGATCCCACATGCTGCGGAGCAACTAAGGCCATGGCCCACAACTACTGAGCCTGTGCTCTAGAGCCTGCAAGCCACAACTACTGAAGCCCAGGGGCCTAGAGCCCGTGCTCTGCAACAAGAGAAGCCACTGCAATGAGAAGCCCACACACCACAACGAAGAGTAGCCCCCGCTCACCACAACTAGAGAAAGCCCACGCCCAGCAACAAAGACCCAACGCAGCCAAAAATAAATAAATAAATAAATAAATTTTAAAAAAGAACCAAAGGGAAACTTCTAGACATGAAAAAAGTGTAACTATTGAAATGAAAACTCAATAGATCCTCTTCCTCTTCCTTTTCTTCTTCCCCTCCTAAACAATTCATGCAGAAGCCATGGGGGTGGGGCTCAACATCTGCTCAGTGGGTAGGTACAGGCGGAAGCCACAGAAATTCAGAGTTGGGTGAGGATAAGTACACTTGGCACTTAACTGCCCATGGCAGTTATTATTATTGTCATTATTGTAGTTGTTACAAAGGAAATGTTGAGAGATGGCAGAGCAACCACCAGTCACATCCTCTGGGCCCCACCTCTGATTCCAGCTGCATCTGAGGCCTCACCCACTTTGTGCTGACAGCTTTCTTGCTTTAACTATACAATACATATCACTCCTTTTCTGCCCTGGGGCTTTCCAGTGCCCTGGGTGAGACGCCAATGGAAGCGCACTTGGAATGCCCACATGCACAGCCTAGAAGTGGGAGATGCATCACCTCCTGGGGCAGCCCTTAGTGGGGGATGGAAGCTGATGGGTAAATGCTTCTCACTATCAGTCCTCAAGTGGACAATTCTGAGAGACATTTTTCCACTCTGCAGATGGTTCCAGTGGGGTCAAGCGCCAGTTGCCCACAGCAATGCCCAGCTCAACCTTATACCTTGTTCTGGCTTTTTCTCCAGTCCCTCACGCCTGTTCCCTAGTGTCCCTTCTGTTCCACACAAGGCCTTTTCTCAGGCTCTGCTTTCCAGGCTAGCTCAGGATAAGACTATCAGAAGGCCCTAGAAAGCAGCCCTGGGAAACGGAATTCCTCCCAGGATGAATGGCAATAAGGACTCTGTTGCCGGTGGTAAGGGGAGTGGAGATAATCCTTACATGCCATAGCTTCACAATTTCTAAGACTTTCCCCTGCAGTGGGGAAGGGAGCAGAGGTAGATAATGAAGCACTAGGTTATGCAATAGTTCTAGCACTTGAAAGGCATGAGGCAGTAGTAATTATATGGATTGTGGAGTTGGTTGGCTTCTACTAACTGCTTTAGAAGCTTTGCAAGAGAAAATGAAAGGCTGTCAATTCAGGGCATGCTGTGAAACCCAGGGGCATTCTGGACTTCAAGACCTCAAAAGGTCTTCATAGGGGACTACCCTGGTGGTCCAGTGGGTAAGACTCCACACTCCCAATGCAGGGGGCCTGGGTTCGATCCCTGGTTGGGGAACTAGATCCTGCATGCTTGCCACAATGAAGAAGCAACTAAGACCCAGTGCAGCCTGCATACATACATACATAAAAAAATAAGGTCTTAATAGGATCAAATCCAGTTACTGGTATGCTCATTAATTTGCTAGCCCCTCCCCACCCCTTTCCTTCTCTATTTCACTCTCCCTGGGCCCTCATATAAACAACCTGCACCAAGTCCTTGCCTCAGGCTCTGCTTCATGATTGAGACATGAAGAAGCAACGGTGGCCAAGTCACTAAGTTTATAACCTCAAAGACTTAATGATTTCTAAGGGGAGCAGCCAATTAGTATAACTCAAGCTAAGCATGATCAATCATACTATGAATAGGTAGTCATTTTTTTAGTTCTTACTTTGTGCCAAGCCCTGTTCCAAACCTTTTACATCCATTACCTGAGTTAATTCTCACAGCAGCTCCATGATGTAGGTATTATTTCTCTCTCTCCCCCTCCTCTCCCCCACCCTCTGAAATGAGGAAACTGAAGCCCAGGGAGTTTATGTAACTTACCCAGAGTCACACAGTTAGCACAGGACTGAACCTGGATTCAGCTCAGTCTGACTCCACAGCCCCCACACTCTTAGCCTCTGTGATATACCGATTTCTTCCAAATAACAATATCAACAGAGAAAGGGGGGAAATTATGTTCATGAATGCTGCTTTAGGCAACAAAATCCTCAAATTCATCTGGACCTGTGTGCACAATATCCTTTCCCACCCTGAAGATGCATGCCCACAGCCAGTGCTGCTGCTGTTCTTTGCTGGGATTTAAGTCCCAGTTCAACCACGTACCAAGCTAGGGATGACCCTGAGAAATTATCCCATGTAAGCCTAAATTTCCTTACCTGTAAAAGCAAGTTAATAATACTGGCCTTGTAGGTGTTCCACAGATTTAGTGTCTAATAGCTATGATTTTGCTAGTCAAAGGTCCATTGTTGGGAACAGAGAAAAAGAACAGAGCAGAACAATTTTGGTCAAGTTATTTTGTTTGTCTGGAACCCAAGAAATGCCTCTTGGCTTTACTGGACTTAACTTATAACTCCTAGGATAAGAGATTCAAACCAGAAATAATTTTGTCCCCTGAAGTGGGCTGAATGGTGGCTCCCCAAAAAGACAAGTCCTAACTCCTGGAACCTGTGAATATCACCTTATTTGGAAAAAGTGTCTTTGCAGATGTAATTAATAAGTTAAGGATCTCAAGATGAGGTCAACCTGGATTGACCTAAATCTGCTGACCAGTGTCTTTATAAGAGAAAGGCAGAGGGAGAGAAGGCCACGTGAAGATGAGGCAGAGATTGGAGAGGTGCTGCCACAAGCCAAGAAACACCAGGAGCCACCAGAAACTGGAAGCGGCAAGTGAGACTTCTGCCCCAGAGCCTTTGGAGGGAGTGCAGCCCTGCTGGCACCTTGACTTTGGATTTCTGACCTCTGGAACCATAAGAAAATACATTTCTGTTGTTTTAAGCCACCAGTTTGTGGTAATTTGTTACAGCAGTCCTGGGAAACTAATCTACTTCTCTCTTCTCCCCCAAGTCAACTCTGCGCTGTTCTCTTGACAGAGAGCTGATGGGAAATGCAGCATATAAAGGCATGCCTTTGACATGACCTAAATCTTGATGACTGAGAAAGTCCATGGAAATCAATATAAATAATTTTGCAGGCTTCCAGAAGCTGAGAGCAAATTTTAATGGCAATGGATAATAAATGTGTACTTGTTGAGTAATCTTGCCTTCCTCCAATGGTGACTGCAGGTGCCATTTTCTTCAGACACCTTTTCAAGGTCACCAGTTTTTGTTTTAGAATTTAGACATGGCTTTTGCTCTGTGTGTCTGCTTCTGAACCTTTAATGGGCATGGGG